CCCCCCATGCCCCTCCGGGACACGGACTCAGCGGTGAGGCTGCACCTAACCCTGACACAGCGCAAGGACTGGGCCTGTCCCAGAAACACTCCAGGCCCCTGCCCCTCCATGCCAGGTGCACCAGGTGTGGGCAGACTGGCTCAGGAAGGCAGGACCCAAGTGTGGAGGGGCTTAATGTGGGGAGATCCAGATGTGGGTTAAGAGGGTTCTCTGTGGGGCAATCTGGGTGCAGGTGGCTCAGTGGGAGATCTGGGTGGAGGGGAGATCTGGGTGCACAGGGGCTTGTTGGGAGGTGGGTTCTGGATGCAACAGTAATGGGACTCTGCAGGGGGGTCCAGGTGAAGGTGGTTGGGGCTCGGGGGTGGGGGTCCAGATGCTGGGGGAGTGGGCTCAGTGGGGTGGGGATCCAGGTGCAGCTGCTTGGGCATTGGTAGGGTGGGGATCTGGGTGCAGGTGGCTTGTCAGGGTGGTCCAGGTTCAGGGAGAGTGGGGCTCAGCAGGCAGGTTCTGAGTACTAGCAGGTGAGACTAGGCAGGAGGGTCTGGGTGTGAGGGGGATCTGGATGCACGGGGGTTGGGTGGATGGGGGAGCAGCTCCCTGTACAGCGATTCCTTCCCCTGCAGCTGAGGAGAGATGGTTGTAGGAAGTGGTGGGTGGGGGGAGGAGTTTGCAGAGCTTCCTGCAACTGGGGAAGAAATCTGGGGGTGGGTCTGAGCCGACCTAGGATGCCATGCAGAGGAAAAGGAAGTTCCATCCTCCCCAGTCCAGCCGGAAATAGCAGCTGAGCCTGGCGCAAAGTAGGAGCCACCAGCCAGGTCTTCCCCAGTCCTGCCCCATGCCCCACAGTGATTTACCTCTCTGCCGGCCACCCTGGGCACTCAAAACATACTGCTGGGGAGGGTCTCATGACCCCTCTTGTGGCTTCCCTATGCTTCCCCATCAGAAAGGCATTTTACTGCGGGGAAGTAAAAAAATCTGCGGGGGACACAAATTGTTCGCATGCACAGTGGCACAGAATTCCCCCAGGAGTAATTCATAATGTGCTTGGATTAAAGCGCTCCTTGTATTTTACTGTCTGTTAAAGAGCCCCTGTCAGAAACTAAAGGGACTTCACATACAAATGGAGAAGCAGTTCCCTTATTTGAAGCAAACTGAGTGGTTAAGCTAACTAAATGCTACATTTGTCTCATGGGATGCCACAATTTACCTGCAGCAACTCTGAGTAACATCCATTCACTGGATTGTCATAATTGCCTGCTACTTTCCCTAGGCATCATGGTTTGATTTTTCTTGTTCTTTACAGTAAAAAAATAACCCCCAGATGTAGTGTAGGTCAGGTGTGACACTTAGATTAAACTGTTCACTGCTGACTCTGTCTTTTTTTTTTTTTAAAGCTTTCCAACAGCGAGTCAGTCCAGCAGCAGATGGAGTTCTTGAATAGGCAGCTTCTGGTTCTTGGGGAGGTCAATGAGCTGTACTTGGAACAGCTGCAGCACAAGCATGCAGACACGACAAAGGTACAGTATGTGGGTCACATGCAAGGCCTTTCTGGAAAGATTTGCCTTAGGATCATCATCAAGTTCAGTAGTGGCTTTTCAGTGAAGAAGGAAACTCTTTATAAATCATCAAACAACGTGACATAAATGTTTGCATCCAATTTCAAAGCAAATGAAGGAATAGTTTTCAACTAGCAATAATTACACCTCAGATTAACCTCATTGGCTATGATACTGCACTGTGTTAGTCATGCCAGGCTATCCAGTCTGTCTTCAAATAGCTTCTTGGATGGCATAGTTTTTACTAGGTAAAATGATGGTTTTTACTGCCCCAGGAAAAACTAGTTCATCACAGTTTAAGGCATTTTCTATTTTAAAAATTGTTTAATTAATGCACACCACATTACACTTAGGTTTAGTTATGCATTCAGATTGTTGTTACATAATGCAGTAAATACATAGATTAATTTAGAGTTGCACAAATATAAAGTAAAAGTGCAGTGGGTGTAATATTAATATATGTAATTATACTAAACTTTGGAATGACTGCATTTTGGTTTGGTATTTTCTCAAGGAAGTTATTCATGTCATGACTCATTTCAGTTTTCAATATTAGATAAATAAAAGTCAAAAACATTCTATGAAAATGACAGTAATGCAGAGTTGTAGGCTTGAAGCATTGAGCAATCAGAAGCATGCAGAGTTGCAAGTTACCAGCCCATTTGGCCATGCAGCAAAAGACCAACTTTGATTTAGTGGATAGACCGAACTTATTCCTCAGTTTTGAATGGGTGTATTCAAAGGTTGAAAAGATTTGTTCTATGCTTGCTGAATTTACTGGACGCTGATGCAGTTATTTTTTTCAGTTTAAACTGGTTTTAACCTGGTATTTACCAGCGCCCTGGCATAAACTAGCTTTTCCTGGAAAATTGCCTACCCTTAATAGGTTCAGTAACCTTGGAAACTTACATTTGTATCACCCTGGAGCAGAAATCCATATCACATATAATTTTCTATATGAAGATAAAAAAAGAATCTGCTGCTTGAGATATTGCATGGGAAGGCGCTTAGTGTTAATACAGTAGGTCTTGCACCATGCAGAAGTAGTGCCATGTCACTTCAACAGTTGTCACTAAGAGTGCTTATCTCTTGCAACCACACATACATCTCATGCTCCTTTTTTTGTAAAACTTCTAAGGACCACATGATTTTATTACCCTGCTCAGGGAAACATTTTTGTACCAATAGGGCAAGTGACACTTAAAGACAGTGTACCTGCTTTTACATGAGAGACAGCAACCAGTAAAAGTGAACTGTAAAGCCAAAAAAAAGTGCCTTTTTTTAGCACTTTGAGGGCCACATTTCAAAGAAATTGAAAATTATCCATTCTAATCTGATACAAGACTGACAAGCCTTACCCCTATTGGAAAGGGCTTAAGTAAGGAACACTGATGTGCTAATAAATTCCAGTCATGTGGAGCTATATTCATGGTAATTTAGTATCCCTGATACATTTACAAGTTCTCCAGTTCTGCATCTCTTTTTTTGGACGTTTGCTTTGTTTCATCTTACATAGAAATTATGCGATCTGTAACTGTATGCACACGTATAAATACTACAAGCATTTAGGAATCCTGTCCCTATTAAAGCGCTCTTTAAAACCGTAACCCTTTCTTCCCCAGTGAAATCCTGAGAAAACAGATTTAGACTCTTCAAAGCAAAGGGGCATAAGATGGGTCCAGTGTTGTAGATGTTTTACTGTATCTGACCAAAGTTTAGCCTTTTACTTGTGTGACACTAAATGGTGTATTTCTCAGTAACGGAGAGTACCCCTCTTTTTCAGGAAGTGGAAATGATGCAGGCTGCCTTTCGGAAAGAACTGGAGAAAGCAAAATTCTGTGTTCAACAGCAAAGCCAGAGGCTTGATGCCTCCCAGAAGCGGATAGTTGAACTGGAGTCTCAGCTTTCTAAGAAAGATCACCTGTTACTGGAGCAAAAGAAATATCTGGAGGATGTCAAAATCCAAGCAAGGTTGGGATTTCACTTCAGTAACTAATACTAACTTACACTATAGATAAAGCTGTTGCCATGTTGTTGTAGCTGTGTCGGTCCCAGGATATTAGAGAAACAAGGTGGGTGAGGTAATATCTTTTATTGGACCAACTTCTGTTGGTGCAAGAGACAAGTTGACATGGAGCTCTTCTTCAGGACCTGAAGAAGTATGTGTAAGCTCAGAAGAAAGCTAGTCTCTTTCACCAATAGAAGTTATTTTGTTATAAATAAAGTTAAAAAAAATGTATTGGCAGATGGGTTATACTTTGAAAAATTTTAAATTAATAGTACTGTGTTCTTTGTATGTTCAGAGACCAGCTGCAAGCGGTAGAGAGCAGATACAAAGCCCAGAAAAGAATTACACAAGCCTTTGAGCTGGAGATTTTAGATCTGTACGGCCGATGGGAGAAGGATAGCCTATTGAAAAAACTTGACGATGAAAAAACAGAAGCAGCTGAAGCAGCAGAAGAAAGGTAAGGACAATATTACAAAACTTGAGGAGCTACTTGCAAGCTGCTTGAGGTAAACCTCCCGAAGTAATGTTTAGCATTCAGTGTCTGCCATCCTTAAGTATCCAAAGTACTTTACTCACCTTTGTGAAGCATCAGCTTTTCTCATTCTTGCAGGTGGTGAAACTGAGATGAGTGGCTTGTCCAAGTCACCCAGTGAGTCAATAACAGAGTTGAGAATAAACTGTAAAGGCGCTCTTTAGTAACTAAAATACTATGCAAACCAGCTACAGGTGAAAACCATTCTAGTAAAACCCTCTTTATTTCCTCTCTGAAGAATTTGAGCTCCAGTAGCTCACATCCAGGACCTGTCATTTTAATGTACAACAAAACAGAATTTTCTTAACTATTTTAATTGCTGCATAATGAATCTAGTTTAGCTTGTCTGATTGGGCAGCTCTACCCTTTGTAACAATTAGTTGACTGACTGGTAGGACCTAGTGTAGGCAATGTAGACCATACAGTCTATTTAAATGGGATGTTCTCCAGGGAAATAGTTTACTCCATTGGCACTTTGTTCCTGTTGCGTTAAATAAGGACCTTTAGGTTTGCTAATATCCAAAATTGGATGTTGAGATCTAATCCAAACTGTTGCATTTACCATGAAAATTGCTGAACCTTCATTATGACTACAAAAGTCTCAGGAATTGACCATCTTTTCCGGTCTGAAACATGGTCAGTTATGAGGCATTGTTTCTCACAACTTATCTGGATTTACCATCATCACCAGCCAAAACTTGTTGGGCATAAATGGCTTGAGTAGGATATGTCCGAGGCATCCCTTTTATGCAAACGTCGTACATTTGAATTGAAGTTGGCTATCTGGAAGTCAAAGAAAAGCTGTCTATTTTATTGCTTTCATTGAAGTCTTGAGACTTCTATCTGAGTTTAAAAAGGGATTCTCCACTGGGGGAGGAAATACTAACCTTGTTTATACTCAGTTACCTTTGCCCTCTTAGGAATTTGTCTGTTCTGCTGATTAGCATCCACATATATATGATTTAAATAAATCCTTCCTACTCATGAAATGCTTCCTGCTCCTAGCTCTGTAGTAATTTCAGAATGGCTACAAAAAACAATTGATATAGTAAGAGCAGGTATTGTTCAGGCAACGGCAGGCAAAGGATAGATCTACAAATCCTAGTGGGAACTTTCCTAAATCAGTGAGGATGCAGGTACATCCTACCCTTTGGATCTCTGCCAGTCTTGAACCTACATCCACCACTAAATCCGTGATGTTGGTTATCTTTCTGGCTACAGTATATTCAATGGTTTATGCTTTGCTGCAGGATTGATTGAAAGGAGAAACTGGTGACGGTATGTTTTAGCACATCTGTAATGGTAGACATAGAAACTAATCAAAGTAAACTGCCTTTTTCTCCAACAAGTTAATCTCTTCATGGTGTACCATTGCTACCATCATTTTGACTCTTTCTGTCTCTCATTCCAGGCTGGATTGTAGTAATGAAGGTTTTGCAGACTCTGTGGCAGGATACAGTGAAGAAGCAATTGGTAGAAATGGAGAGACCAAACCTCCGAGCACCCGGGGTAGTAGTAGCAGTAAAGGCAGCAGCAGTGAGCTGTCCACCCCAGAAAAATCCCAGAACCAGAGGATGGGTCAGTTCAGCAGTCACTGGGAAGCATCCATGTTGCTGGAGCCTTCCACTAGCGTCCCACTAACTGTAGGCTCACTCCCCAGCTCCAAGAGCTTTCTTGGAATGAAAGTGCGTGAATTATTCCGCAACAAGAGCGAGAGCCAGTGTGATGAGGAGGGTATGACCATCAACAGTCTTTCTGACACTCTAAAGAGTGAACTATGTAAAGATCCAAGCATGGTGGAGGCAAAGGCTCCTTCAAGCCCCGACAACCCCAGCCCCTCGCCCATGAACCAGGAAAGCAGTGTTGGACAGCTTCATATCATGGACTACAATGAAACTCATCATGACCACAGTTAAAAAGGAAGATAGTCAATCAGTGTTATTTTCATATTCTTGGCATAGAACAGGAGGCGCGAATGCAAGTTTAACTAAAAGCTTTTATGTTTCATTGGTCTGAGCAGCTAGCTCGAGCAGTGGAAACAGGAGTGATGTCTTTTTACATAAGATGACTGCTGAATGAATGCAAAATGGATTTAGGGTCTGGAATGGTAATGCCCAACCTAACTTTCTTCTGCTTCTCCTCTCTCAAATCCCATCATTAGCAGTGTGTACTAATTTGAAGGGGCAACTGTTAGCATTTATAAGTATTTTTTCCCTTCTCCCCTCCCCAATGAGTGGTTGCATCCTATGAACTTGAGTGCAATATGAGGCCAAATTAACGTTTGTGAATCTACCTATGAATGCTTAGTGCTTTACTTAGCTGAAATTTCTCAGCAAGCTTCCAATTTAGAACAGTTAATTGTGTTGCCCTTGCAGGTGATTTTGGTTATGTTCTTCTGGAAAAAAGCAAAACCAGAGTTTCTAGTGCATTCATCTGAAGGTCTTTATTTTGCCTGTTTGTTTTCCCCCAACTCTGGTCTTCGTAGATTGGACTATGGTCAAGTGACTGAATGGTAAAGAACAACACACATCTGCAAACTGATGTTGCATTCACCCCAATTCATAATCATTGTTTCTTTTGTCCTTAACATTTCCTGGAAAATTATATGTGAACAAACATTGTCCTTCCCCAAGGAACTGCAAACTATTTGCTGAGGTCTCGTTAAAATACTTGCTTCTGATTTTTTTTTTTCCTCCCCTTGGGTGGGTAAGGGGGATGTTCATTGTTTGTTTGACAAACTGGTACTTGTCTGACCTTAAATTGTTGCGTGAGTGGAGGTGATGAGAACTGAATACTGAGTGCAGGGAGATCCAGACAAGGACAGTATGTAGAGATTTTGTGTAAAGTGGCGGGTTCACCAAAACTTCCAAGTGAGCATTTTGAAGAAGATTCTGCAAATGTTTCTCTAAGCTGGGAGACAATTGTGCTGCCTGGACTCTTCTTTTCATTGTGATCTTTGTCCAGGCTAACCAAGACAGTCTCATTCTGGGTTGAAGAATCTCAAACATTCTTCTTCCCAGGAATAGTTTATAAGATTCCAGGCTTGAATCAAGAATCATTGGATAAACTCCCAAAGGAAGTCCTCCCCCTAATGCTATTGCTCTCTTGGATACAGAGGTCATGGCAGTTCAATTTGTGGCTACCTAGTTTTCTCTCTCTCTCTCTCTCCTTCCCCTCCATTCCACTCTCCCAAGCAGCTGAGCTTGCTGTTGGGCCAGTGTATGTAGCTCAAAATGATATACAGGACCCAATCCTGCAGCCTTCCCATCTTTATTATTCCCATTGAAGTCAATGGGGAGTCTTGCATGCTGAAGGACTTTGGGATCAGGATTTATGTCGGTCTTCAAACTCTGGTTTCCTTCCTGTCAGAACAGAGCTCCATTATTAGGAAAGAGAGAGACGTTCATGTCTGTGAGATTCTGATATGTCTGGGTCCAGGATCACTTAGTCTGTAATATGACCTTTTAAAGCGTCAGAGCCACGCTGCCCCAGTGTTCATTTTGTTCCTACTTTTACAGATGTCGTCTTTTTTTTTCCCCCTTAAACAGTCTACAGGGGTGGTGGTAAGAATCTTCCGAAAGGTAACTACACTTGTACTCTGTTTTTCTAGCTTGACCTAATCTAAGTAGGGATAGAACTGATCAAAGCAGGCTGGCATTCTGCTAACCTGACAAACAGAGCTGCTGTGATTTCCTCCCCTTCCAACTCCCCCCACCCCCCCTGTTGCCCAACCAGACAATACCTTCCCTTCCATTCCACCTCTCCCATAACACCTATGGTCTGTATACATTTCTGCCTGTCAGCCAGTCCTGACTCTGAAAGTAAAGGTGAATTTTGGTGTTTTTTTCAAAGCTTGAACCTGCACAGAATAGGAAATAGTGTCACTTACAAGTGACATTGACTGGTTTTGTTGACACGTCTGTAGGTTTTCTAAGACTTGGTGGTAGTTGCAATAGCAAATGAGTGAAGACTCAACGGCTTCATATCCCACTCACCCAGAAGTGAACAGTTTGCACATTGCCCCTAACAGGGCTAACTCAGCTATTGGATACAGTTCTGTTATGGGAATCAGATAGACCCTCCCTTCAGTTTGGCAATTCCTAACAGACTATCCTGCCACATGGTGACTCACTTCTTTTAGTGGAGGGACTTTTGTTGTTGTTGTTAGTAGCAAAAATGCTCTGGAGCTAATCAGAGCTCATCAGTAGGTGGCCTTTTCTCTTTTAAAAGGATGTTAGCACTGGGATGGAATCAGAAACCACTTTAGACGGTTTATCTATGGACCACAAAGATTATGGAGGAACAAATTTTGCCATTGTTCTTGTAAATCTCTAAAATTATGGATCTACTGTATGTAGTAACTTGCATTTTGTTTAAAGGGATCCCATCAATGAAGTGGAGACAGATATTTTTAACTGACTGCTTTTAGTTAAATCTAAAAACGCTGTCTTTGTCAAAAGTTAATCTGTTCCCTGCCTCGCTCTTTGTAAGCATGTTAAACAATCCACATTAAATGCCATAAATATGAAATACAAGGAAAAATGGTACAATCTAAGCTAAAGAGAACTTTAAACCAAAAGGAGGTTTTGCTGTCCTTATTAGAATGTTCTAAAATGTCAAGGCAGTTGCTTGTGTTTAACTGTGAACAAATAAACATGTATTGTTTTGCACTACTTTGCGTTGAGCTCTCTGCAAGCTGCGCCCTCAGGGTGAAGGATCTGTGCTCGGTAACCTATACTGACTAAACGTGAGCTTTGCAGAAACAAGATTAGCATTAAAGCACTTTCAGAGGTCCAAGTGTTTAATAGTATTGGGTATGTTACAAAACAGATAAATGTCCTGCCCTTCTGATGTCCTGCCATTTTTATAGATAGCATGAGCAATTTTTCCCTCTTTGCAAAATAGCTTTGATGTTGTCATAGGTATGTATAATCCAGTAATTTAACTGCACATGTAGTTTTCAGTGTTTAATTCTGTGCCAGTCCTACTACACCTCTACCCCGATATAACGCTGTTCTCGGGAGCCAAAAAATCTTACCGCGTTATGGGTGAAACCATGTTGTATCGAACTTGCCTTGATCCGCATGAGTGCGCATCTCCCCACCCACCCTGGAGCATGTTATATCCAAATTTGTGTTATATCAGGGTAGAGGTGTACTTATGGTATCCAAGCATACCTACATACCCAGAGATATCTGCAAGTAGTCTGGATATTTGACTCGTCTTCTACATAGCATTGCTTGCTGGTCTGGACGGTAGGACTATGATCAGAATGCTGCTGTTCATCTTCTACCAGCAACCAATGATAGCTGAACATCACAGTGGTACAGTGAGCTATCCTTTCCAAAAAGAAAGCATTTACTGTTGTGACTTTATTCCAGATGTCAGCTTCAGATACCATACCTGAAGTTCCCAAAGAGAAGTTGTGTGTTTGAAGTCCCCCAAAGACAGCAGAAAAGTGTCTAGTTCTTGGAACACATTTACATCTACTGCAGATGGCCCAGTTAGAATCATCTTAAAGGTCTGATTTGTATTAGAATCTTGCCAGCTAGTTTTACTGTGATTAAGGTTGTGTCTACATAACAAATTCCACTTTGGGACTTTTTACATAGGAATGTATGCACAGCCTAGGGAATTGTATGCACTGAAGGACCGATCGACCCATAGAACGACTTCTCAAATGCAATGGGACAGCCATTCTTAATTACAAATTAGCAAAAGGATGTTTCAGAAGCTGACCTGTGCTCTTACAACAATTGGAATCAGAATGAAAATCTGAAAGAGCACAAATGCAACTCTTTTTAAAGTGGCTCATGAAGCATGAATATCAATGGTGCAGTTAAAGTACTTTGAGCATAAAAATTAACACTTTTAAATGCATGAACCAACTTGGACTGTTTGATGCTGTCAGAGAGATCATATTTTTGCACAGATCAACTACTTGTATGGGGACTTCATCCCCATAACGGAGGATTTATGCACACTTTAATCCCTTACTGTGAGGGTCAGGTGATGTGGGAAGTCTTGTTTGGACCCTCTGACTTGGGAGAATTTTTCCTATAGGATGTAAATGGCAGAAAAACAGCAGAAACAGAATCTTGACTTTCTTTTATTGTTACATATCTCAATACAAGTTTAACATTCAAAAACTGCTCTTACCAGCATACAAATAATTCAATATATATTTTCACAAAAGTAGAGAAATAAAGAATCTGCTTTATTTTCTAATGCTCATAAACACAACCATAAATAAGAATCATCCTTCCAGCAGCCATGGCTTTCCTCCCAGTTCTACTGCCACATAACAGACTGAAAAGCCAACTCTCCTTTTGACCTTGTTGCGTTCTTTAGTACTGCTTCCTAGACCTGACCACTAGAGGCCTCCATGACTCTGCCAGCTCACTCAGAACTAATCTTTTGAGCTGCTGAACTTCCACCACGCTCCCTGTTGTGGTTCCCTGCAAGACTTTTCAGGTCTAGCCGAATCCCTGACTTTCTAATTGCTGACTTGATCCCAGCTCTCTTCTGAATGGCCTATAAGCAGCATCCTGTTGGCTACGGTGTCTCCAGACTTAAACTTAAAAAAAAAAAAAAATCTTTAACCTAAGGATATTTTGGATTTGATACAGGTTTTTGACTGATGCCATCCCCTGTCTAAATTGGACCAGAACTACAGAAGTAGTATGTAGCATACAGACAGCTGGATTTTGTTGGGATCCTGTGTACTCTGCTTGTATCTGTATTTGTCTTCAGAAGAAAAAGCGGGTGATCAAGGAGACTTGAGGAACACAAAGTAAGCTAGTTTGGCTGCTTCCCAGGTTTCTTGTGTTTGTGTGTGAACTTGGAAAACAAAGTTAAAGCAAAGTTTTATTACAGAGCTATGTTTGGATAATTACATTCCAACTACCTCAATTTCTACTCAGTGTCAACTGGATTTATGGCAAGATGGTACTCTTTCCAACATTGCCACTAGGTTGCTGTTGGAAAGCTGATACTTGTCTCTTCCTACCCTACCAACCTTCTAAATTTCTCTCAAACTTTGCTCTATCTGAAGTGGTGGTCATCCACTGTGTAGAGGAAAACTTGTATAGAAACTAAAGTAATTTGGACAAACTGTTTTTGAACTTATCTTTGAAAAAATCTTCCAAAAGACCATTGTCATGTAATTGCAAAACTATAGTTTCCCAAGAAACTTCCAATTTTTCCATTCAAGAGTCCTTGAGGAAAGTTTAGTGAGCAGGACTGGGTGAGAGGACTGGGGCAGTTACTTTTGGAATTATTCAGTAGTTTGCGACAGTTTAGGAACTCTTGGGTAAGACATGAGCAACAGCTGTTAGCTTGTTGGGTGGCAGGGTTGTGATATTTAATACACAAAACTGAAAGTGAACCAATACTACGTTAACCTCAAAGTTAATACAGTAGTTTGATCTGATCAGAATCCAAGTATTCCAGCTTACACTATATAAAGAATGATGTTAAAACTGGATTTTCAGATCTATACTAGTGCAATAAGACCAGGTCTCTGCACAGGACTGGGAGTCAAAGTTGGGATTAGAAATCAGGAGTTCCCACCACTTGGACTTTGGCCTTGGGCAAGTCACTTGACCCCTCACTGTGCCTCAGTTTTCCCATCTGTAAAATGGGAGACTATTTTCCCATCTCACAAAGTTGTGAATGACTTAATGTTTGTAAAATGCTTGATAGATGACACATGCCTTTCTGCCCACCCTGCAATTTTTGTTTTGTTTTTGGGAGATTCTTTGCGCTTTTCCTCTTCAGGAGTCACTTAGCTCACCTAGCATAGCAGAGATTCTTTTTTCAGACTTATATAGCCACTGGAACAACGTATTGATCAACATATGAAAATGCACAAACAAATGCTAGGACATTTATCTTCCATATAGCATAACTTTTGATTGGACTAGCAGACATTTACAGTAAGTGCAAATTCCTTATTTTCATGCTATTTTTTATTTAAATATAGATCAGAACATATGGTCATGTAACCACTATTCTCAGAAATCCTAAACTGCACTCGTTTTATGTAGCAAGAACAGATAAGTGATAAGTAACTGCTTGCCTTTGACATTTAAAATAGAAGTATTTAAAGAGATTATAACTGAATATCTGTTTTGACAATTGAATTTTTTAATTGCCATTTTAGTCACACTTATGGGCCTTTTAAAACTAAATTTAGATGGTGATTTCTGATCAACTTGTATTGCAGTAAAAAGAGTTGGTGATTTTAATGAATGGGAAATACTCTTGCTAGCTTTTCCCCCTTGCCCCCCATCAATTCTGCTGTGTAGCATAATCATAGGCAAAATAATGGAATCCTGTTACGATGAGAGTAATTAACCATTGGAACAACTTAACAAGGGTTGTGGTGGATTCTCCACCACTGGAACTGTTTAAAATCAAGATTGGATGTTTTTCTAGAAGATCTGTTCTAGTTCAACCACAGTTATTGGACTTGAAGCAGGAATTTATTCAGGGAAGTCCTGTGTTAGGTGCAGCTGTGGAAGTTCAGACTGGCTGACACACTGATACTGAAGAAGGGTTGTTTCTAACTCGCTAACACAGGTCCTGATTCTTCTCTCACTGAAATCAGTGTCAATGTTCCCTTTGACTTAAATGGCAGAAGGATGGGGTCCCTAGTTTTGCAAACTCCCTTAAAATGCCAACTCAGACATCCCCCAATGTTTGTTGTGTATGTGGATCTGGAGACACTCAGGATATTTGTTGCAGATTTACTTTCAGGGCTCTGCAAGTCTCAAATTGGGCATGCTCAACCAGCCGTCTCCACAGGGGGAGTGATATCCCTCTGGGGGTTTTCCTTTGCTGCTTGTAGGACTTACACCCACTCCCTGGGCTGAAATAGCAAGGGGCTTAGAGAAACTGATTTTTAGTGGTTAAAAATTACCCTTGTTATAGCCCCTTCCATCTAAGAATTTTAAAAGGTGCTTTTACAGACAATAAGCTTCCCAGCCTCTCTGCTATGCAGTAGGTATCCTCCCCATTTTCAGATTGGGAAATTAAGCCACAGAGGTTAGATGACCTTTTATCTAAGGTTATTAAATAAGTCAGTAGCAGAGCTGGAAATAGGACCTGGAAGTTGTAACCTTCAGGCCCATGGTCTAACCAATAGCCCTCATTTCCTGCTTAACAGTTCCTGTCCCAGAGAGCATTTTATCTGTTACTTGTCTGTATGGTGCCTAGCACAGTCAGGCCTGAAACTTGAAGTATTTAGATGCTATTAGTGACTTTAATTTTTCTCTGTAAAGCCACCTCCATGATACAGCTATTAAATAAAGCCTTCCACAGGAAGGGTGGCTTTTCTGCTACCCAAAATCCTGCTAGCAACTATGTCTGTTAAATAGCCCAACAATCTTAAATCTGTTTGAATTCCCCAGTAGTTTGAATTGAATAGGATCACTTAAAAATAATTATGAAGTTTACTGAAGAAATCATGTCTATCCCAGAGCTGAGGGTTAGTGCAATGATTCCTATACATCCTATGGAGACGTGTATGAGCGGTGTGGGAAGAGAATGGGAACAAATACATAGAGGGGGTAAAAGAAGGGGTGAAAGTTCACCTGTAAATACTTCCTATCCTTCTGAACTGCCATTCCCTTCTGCACTTCCTTGTTTGCGCAACTCTCCCATCTTAGTTGATACTTGTTTCAAAAACCTGGTCACCTTAAGGTAATAGCACCCCCATAATTTTAGCAAACACAGCCATGCATGCACGGGAAACGTTTATTCAGGAGTGTCTTCAGGCAGGAGGCAAAAGAACAGGAGCTAACTTGCCTGTGGGAGGGGAAAAGAGCAATCAGATAAAGGGAAATACATCAGACTATCAAGATCTTGTTAAGAGCTTCCATAAAGCATCCATAAATTATACAAATCAGTTCTAAGTGATAAATATGGGAAGCGAGCCTACAGGTGGACTGGCTTTCATAACCCAGTCCTGGAAAGCTAGCTAGCTGGCTTCAGAGACTCTATAGGAAGGCAATGATTTAAAAATACGTTGCACTTTTCTATGCATGCTCCATCAGCTGATCTCAGATGCCTTACAACTGTTAATGACCTAAGCATCAAACACTTCTGTAAGGTAGGTAAGATGTACCCAAGGGAAAGCAGAGGCGTAGAGACCTTAAAGTGCAATTCTACTTTGAAAAGAGGCTGTGTCTGAAAATGGTCACCTCTTCCTCAGTAGATCTGCTCCCTGGATTGGAGTCTTGCACCCTAATAGTGGTCAGAAATAACTTTTTCCTTTTGTTAGCCCTGCAGAGCCAAAACAGCTCTGGGAGAGTGAGCTGGATTATTTTATGGGCCACACCCACCGTCAATTAAATTTCAACTACAGGACCAAATTCTGTCCTCACTTACACCTGTGCAACCCCATGGGAAGTGAAGGGGTTGAACAGCTATAAATGAAGACAGATTTTTGGCTCAGTCTTTATTACTGGTATTGGTGTAGGATGCAGTGCACCCATCTTAGATTTCAGATAGCAGGCTATTTACAGCAGTAAATTTGAGCAACCTATAACCTGAAAAAATCAGATAGGAAGTCATAGAATTGGACTTCAAGTGACTTGCCCAAGACACAGCATTGGTGAGAGACCAGAATCTGATTGGTCCTAACTCCATCTGCTGCCCTCACCACTAGACCTGTCAAGGAGGAATACATGTGACATACACTACCCGTTTCAACTCTTTTTCTGGATCTCAGTAGAAAGTTGTCTGATAAGATCTAGGTTTATCTGCTCTTGGAGACTTACAAGACTACATATATTCAGAACTTGGGTGAAGACGGGAGGGAACAACTGCAGTGAATACTGGAGACCATATTTAATAACCAGTCACATCTATGCAAAAGATGTATGAGCTTTGGTCCTTCTAAAAGGAGGGTTTCCCAGGTGGTTTCCAGGGACCATTGAGATATTTCCAAGTGTTTCTCCCTGTGCCATTCAGGTGCTCTTTTTTACCATGCTTACGGTTCTGCTCTCCTGAATAGTCTTTGTAACTAACCAAGGTCTGAGTAGCAGTAGTGAGGATAGCAGGACGTGGGCCTAGGGGAGCAGATGCCTTTGCTGACACATCCTGCTGTGTTCTCTTCTGAGAGTCAGCACTTCCATCACTCACGTTATGCAGGAAGTTCCGAGGCAGCTTCTCACTGTGGGCCACCCATGCTTTCATGCAGTCCAGCACTATGGGTATGAGGCTCACCACACCTCCATAGTGGTTCTTTGCTTCATCGCAACTCAGGTGATTTACCACATCATGAGGGTACCTGTGTGGGGGTCAGGGGGAAGCAGTTATTTACCAGATGGTAAATCAAACACATGGAACCCCAAAATGCCACTTTTAGAGTCGCTGCTACAAGTACATAGGCACTTTCAATTACTTTCTCAAGACAAAGGGTCAGTGATGGTCAGAACTAGACTGTGTGGCTGAAATCGTTCCTGCCCAACAACATTCCTCACCACTGGGCCCAAATCTGGTTGCCCCCAGATTTAATTTCAATAGCATGTAAAAAATACATCTCTCCTCTGCCCAGTTGAAGTAAACCATTGACAGTATGGGGTGGGGAAACCTGTACTGCCGTTGCATGTGACTTCAGTGTACTAGGCTGCCCATATGTTACATTTCACTAGCACTGAAATTCACAAACTTAAAAAAAAAATCTAACCATTTGTGAGTGGGGAGTGAATAGTATTGGGGGAAATTCTCCAAAGACCAATGGGATTACTGGGGCACCCTTGCTCTTTCATTGGAATTAGAAGACAGTCACATGGCTCTAATAGATCTGTGTGGTGGTCCGGAGTACAAATTTCGCTTACATCAGCAGAGAACCATGCCCCTCTCTTTCCCAGCTTTATAAATTGCTTAAGTGATGTTTGCTTTTTTTACAATGAGAAATGTATAAAAGTGAGCTGATGATAGACGTACTTGGCTCGGATGGTGCTCAGGTCGTTGCTGGGGCTAACGAGCAGCTTGCATTTCTCCAAAATATTGTTCGTTACACTGGTACCGGGATGCAGGGCTTCTAGCTTTTGGCAGAGTTTGTTCAGTTCACTACAGATGCTCAAGAACATGAGGAGGATGCGTCTGTCGGTAGTGTTGTTACAGTGATGATCCATGTATGCCTGCACCTATGTAGTGCAACATGTGCAAGGAAGGGCAATATTTAAACTGCAGTGAAACTAGTTCAAACAAGCTGGTGCAGTTTTTATTGCTTTACGTACAAAGGGCCGTTTCGATGCAGTTTGTGTTACACTGCAGAGAAACTGCCCTCTCAGCCATGGCTCTGAAGGAAGCAATGTGCAGGGGAACCTATATGCAATAGGATTTCTGGAGCCTGCCTGGGTAAAAAGCTTCCTCCTTTCCCGTGCAATAGGATTTGGAGAGGTATGGTTGGTGGTATCCACTGATATTTGCAAATCCACGGCCGTTCTTCACCCCTCCCCTGCTGGAACAGGAGTGCTGATGTGCTACTTCAGCCACGGGGCCAGTGTGGCTCCATTACTGCGATCTGAGGGTGCAGAAGAGGGTGCTTCCCGTCACCCTTTTTTTATACTAGTGAGTGGTGGATCAAAATTAGACAGATGAAATGGCTAGGTATAGGGTCTTCCTGCCAAGTGGCAGGAGGTGGATTAGTTTGAACCTTGGTCATTGACATTATAATAATTACCACTTACAAAGCATCTGTATTGCTCAGTTTATTATTTAATAAAATTAAGACTAAATCTCAATGCTAATTCCTGGTAGAAACTGACATTAATTCATAACACAATCTATCCAGATACTCTTCCGAATAGCGAACAAAGCCCTTGCATTATTAAAGTAGAAAAATTAAATCCTAATGAACCCTGATTTTAATGACACATGCGGTCTCCACATGTAAAGGGATTGCTCTCAGCACATCCATAATTGTCATTTTATTTAGATTTTTTTTCCCAGTGTCTCTTCCAGGCTCTGAGTTCTTCACATTATTTAAAATATTCAATATTTTTGAAAGTTCCAAGACAATTCACATACCAACTCAGAACTCCCTACTCTATAGGGACATTCAGCCCTCATTCCACCTTTGTAACAGCCATTATTTTTAATAAACACTACAGAAAAATACAGTAGCTCCAATACCGGGGGGGAGTGGCAAGTAAGCTGCTTACTACAACAAGTTAAGGTTTACAGATTCCATGTGTGACGGGGGAAGGTGGGTATGTTTGTCTTGTACTGTATATTTGTGGTTAGGAGTGTGGTAGGGAAATGGGATTGTTAGGCTAAGTTGTCTAAAGTGGTACTAAGCAGTATAGCGTTTGTAGAAATGGGTAAATCATAATGTAGATACTTCTGTATCTATTTGATAATCCATTGTAGCATATAATATTGTTAATAAACAGATCTTACTAGAGGGGTTTGTATATAGCTTCCCCTAGTACAGTTATTCGCCATTGAAATATACACAAGTGCATGACAGCATTATGCTGTCCCCATCACTGCTGGCAGAGATCTTTGTGCTGATTTCTTTGTTACCTGTCCAATACTTGCTATAGGCCTGATCTTGTCATGTGCATCCTCTCGGGTGCGGTCCAGTGCTGCAATAAATGTAAACTGCTGTTGCTGGAAGATCTTGTAAGTCTGTTCTATGTTTCTCAGACATTCTTTTACCTCGTTCATTTTCCCCCCCTCCTGGATTTTGAAAAAGGAGAGGGAGGAAGTTAATTTTTTAAAGTGATACAATTTTACATGTGCAACTTTATTTTCATCTACAGCTGTAACCAGATGGGTTGAATTGCCCCCCCAAAATGAAAAAAATCAAGAAGCTGGGGAAATATATTGTGTTAAGGCTCTGCAGTCCCACAGCCCCAAACAGTAAGTCAATGAGGTAGTAATGATGCTACAGACAGAGGTAGAGAACCCAGAGGGGACCACTGACAATCAGATGCCATAAACCCTAGTGGATCTATTGTAAACATAATGTAGTAATGCATCAAACACAATGCTGTGAGAGGACCAAAGGGAGAAATATCTTCTCTTATCCAGTGTAAAGCTATTGCCCAAGCGGCTGAAAACTGTCTTCTAACATTAAATGAAGGCCAGCTTGAGAGGCAGTGTGCAGTAAAGTGCGATGGAACAAGGGAGACCTGGACTTGAGGTTAACCTCTGGCTCTTTCACAGCGAGATGAGGGCCTGGCAAGGGGTGCTGATTTCCAGTGCTGGTCTTGTCCGAATGTAGAGGCAGTGTGAGCACTGCCTAGGGCTACCAGTTTCTATACTCCCCCACCTCCCTAGTTTCACCTTAACTTGCCTTGCCCCTACCCCAGAGAAGCTCCGACTATTCTTGTCCTTTTGATCCTCCAGTTTAAAAAAAAAAATGCATTACTATTGCTCCTAGCCCCAGCAATCTAGATGCTAAAGGGGCACTGTGGGCACCACCACCCTTTGCATATCCTTGGTTAAATCTGGCTCTCAAGTTCTGGGGTCAGAAGAAGGATTGTTATAGTGCCCATAAGTGCACACACCACTCAGCTGGGAATGGTATTAATGCTCTGAGTAGACAGTGCAGAGCCAGAAGGTGACCCAGAATGAACGGGAAAACTGTCCATGGTTCCAAATTCCATGGCTGGATTTGTCAAGTGTATAGTTACTTTTGGGTGCCTTCTCCATCAACAGATTGTGAGGCTTTCCCCTCTTACAGACAGAGCATAGGCCACCTCGTAGTTGCTAAAATCCCCCGTCTCTACACTTCTGATGATGCCCATTAGTAACAAGCATCCTGATGTCCCTATCTTCCCCCAGTACTAGTTTAAAATCTTCCTGTATCCCCATACCGATCTGTCCTACCCAGCTGCTAAACCCTCCCACTCCCAAATATGCGGTGGAGTTTATGGATGTATGCCTGAGGCCCCACGCATCCCCACATAAAAACTATAGCCGGCCCTCAGAAGCCCTCACGTTGAAGGGAAGTGAAATCTACGTTGGCACATACTCTGGGATGGGTGAGGATGGGAAACTCACTTGGGTGGGCTTAGGTTTGTCCCTCTACCAAGATCAAAATTGATCACAAAGAAGCTATTTACACTTTCTGCATGTTTAATAACTAAGTAGCAATTTGGCATTGAAAGCCACAATGTAAAAGTCTCTAATGGAGAAAATGTATTTTTTTACCCCAATCCTACTAGTTTGACACAGCAAACATTTACATTTCTGCAATAAAAAATGTTTACAATTAGAGATTAGATCAGAAATATAACAAATCTAAATGAAATACAAAATGCATGTGACTTTCCATAATAAATGGGTAATATAATGTCTTGATTCTTCCCAAAGATATTGAGCACCAGCAGCTCCCATTTGAATTCAGTGGGAGTTGGATTGCATAGCTCCTCTAAAAATCAAAGCACAGATATTCTGTCAAATGAATTTATTTGCAGGTGTCATAAATAGGCTGCAACTTTGTTAGGGAAAAAAATGTCTAAAGTGTACAAAAAAAAGTATAGGTCTGCAATGGAGTTCAGAAACAGAGCAAGTAACAGGTCTGGCTATTGACTTTTTAAAAATATAGCTTGTACTTACAAGCAAAATAATTAATTACAAGATCTATTAATGGATGTTTTTATAAGATAGTAAATAGGTTTAACCAAAATGTATATTCTTGTCTAAAGTAGCTCCCATTCCTTACCATGTGAATTGGACTGAGCCATAAAGTCTTGCACTTCATGGGAAAGTTTGAAAAACTTTTGAGATACCTTGCCTTTAAAACCACCCTCTCTAACTCTCCTATTATGATTGATTGATTTTTATGAGCAAGTTTTCATTAAAGTGGAAACTCTAGCAGCTTAGAAGATACAATAGGCCCTCAAATTGCCTTTAAGGTTTCAATGGGGGCATATAGGGCACCCAGCACTTCCCAGAATCAGTCATGTGGCAATCACTTGTTCCTGTTGCTTATTCATCATCTCTAAAGTCCTGCTTCTCCGTGACATCAAAACAGTTTGACTGTCACAAAAGTGAGACTAAACTAAGAACAGACATTAAAACTCTCAATCCCATTTTCATCCAGTAGTAAACAGACAGGAGGATGGATGGGATTTTCCTAGGAATGAGGTGACCTCACAGTTAAATTCAATTAGGCTCTTCTGAACACTCCCTGTTGCTGTGTAAAGTGCTTTTAAGTCTTTAGCAGAAAGGCCTTACACAGCCCGCAGATTGGTGAGTCCGTGTGGTCAGTCTGGACTCGGAGCTCCACTCACCTGTGTCTCCTGTCCCACTCCTGCATGTCCCGGACCTCCTGCCCCCGACACCGCCTGCTCCCCGCAGCCCTGCGGCCGCCAGCCCCAGCTGCGAGCTCCCCGCAGGGCAATTGTTACAACCGTCTCCCTAGGTAACGGTGACGTAGGGTATCCACGCCTCCTCCTGCCATAGGGCCACAGAGACCAGCGGGCGGGGGAGAGTCAGTTTGGGTCGAGTAGGAGGAGTAGACCCTGAGCTGGGCAGCATTGGCGGGGGCATTGTTGGTGGGGAGCACTGGCAGGGGCAGTGTGGGAGGGGGCAGGGGGCACTGGCATGAGGCTGTATGTGAGGGGGCAGGGGCCCTGTAGGGGAGGGGCAGGGGGATGTGTGGGAGAGGACCAGGGGATACTGGCAGGAGGCTGTATGTGAGGGGGCAGGGGCCCTGTAGGGGAGGGGTAGGGCACAGATGGGGGCTGTTGGGACGGGTCCTGGGGTGGGGAATTGGAAAGCGCGAAGATCTGATTCAGCTTTTTTCTCCCCCGCCAGGACACTTGCCGCTCCCCCCACGTCCAGACAGCCGGGGCTGTAACGCGAAGGACTCGTGCCCACGCCCTTGGGTGAGAGGCAGAAAGGGGGGGTGTCATTGACTCGCCGGGGCACGGACAAGCCGGGCGCAGTTATTGCCCCTTTAAAGGAGTCTGTCGCTGTTTGATGAGGTCACACGCCCCATTCCGAGCCCCGGGAAGGGCGGGTCCCTGAGATGCTGATTCAGGGGTGGGCGGGGCCTCCTGCGTCGCGTGGTGATAACGTAAGCGCCTTAGCGACGAGCGGTTGCTAAGGGTGCGATGGACGCTACCTCCCGGCCGCTCCGTGTGCCCCCGGAGATAGGCATTTATGCGGAAAAGCACGAGCTCTTCCAGCTCCTGCAGGTGAGGGGCGGGGCGGGGAGGCCGCAAGTCCCTTCGCCCGCTGGTGATACTGAGGGAATAACAGTGCTCCCCCCAAGCCAGAAGTGAAGGGAGGGGGGTGGGGGTAACAACTATAGTTCCCAGCATGCACTAGCATTGGTTGGAGGGGGGCCCCCTGTAAAGAGGACTGCCCTCAGCAGGCATTGGGGTGCCCAAGCGCATGTGGGGTGGGGTGGTACTTACAATTCCCAGCATTGGTTGGACTGCACGCACCCGGCATATGGTGGGTCCTGCCCCATGTGTGTGGGTTTAACAGTTGCTCCCACCATACGCTGGTATATTTGGACATATTGATGATTCCTAGCACACACTGGGTAACCCTGCTCCAGGCCTGGGGTTACCCAGTGCAGACTGTTCCTGAGTACCAACATGCCACAGTATATTTGAGGGCATGGAGTGTAATGACTGTTCCCAACGTGTAGTAGGGTGCTCAGAAGAGGTGTATAAACCATTCCCAGCATACAATGGGGTACCCTGAGGGTGGGGGAAAGTGTCATGACCATTCCCAGCAAGCAGTTGAGAGCTATTGGGTGGATGGGTTCAGAACCATGAAGAGTGATGCTAGCACTTGCTGGGGTGCACCTGGCAAAAAAAGAAGCAATGATTCCTAGGGTACATCGGGGCACCTCTGATATGCAGTTGGGCACTTTTGGTGCAGGCAGCACTTACAACACAAGGTATCTTACCACATCTTTCAAGATATATTTATGCCTGTATTTGTAATTTTCACTCCATGCATCTGAAGAAGTGGGTTTTTTACCCATGAAAGCTTATGCCCAAATAAATCTGTTAGTCTTTAAGGTGCCGCTGGACTTCTCATTATCTTTCACGATGGAGCACTGTTTATGTCTGCAGCATGAGGTGTTGTCAAATTAAACACAAGGAAATACTAATCTCTTTGTATCCCTCATGTATCTAGGTGTATCATTATTTATTTAAGCACTATGATTCTTTACTTTTCAAACACTATCTTTGGGCTTGCTACTCTGGAAAACTTAGATGACACTGTCCCTGTCTCAAGGAAATTGGACAAGCTATATGCTAGAAAAACATAATGCACTGGCTATCAACCAGGTTTCATTGCAATATATAATTCTGCAAAAATGTTGACTGTCTGTGGAAGAAAGGTGTTCAGTCGATCAAATGCAAAGCAGGCCTGATAAGTATGATACTTTGTGGATTAGGATGGGAAGTAGTAGGGTGGAGCAGTAGTAGAGAAACCTGTATTTAAAAATTATGTGGCGGTAACTGCTCTTTTTGAGACTAGGCTAATGAATTAATGCATAATCTAATGTATGTTTTTTGGGGGGGGGGAGCATTGTCTATTTTGTGTTGTTTCATCAAACATTTATGCTCTTGTTGTGCCTTTTTATGCACATGTACAACTAATGTGAAACCAATAAAAACACAGTTACAAAGAAGCCTTGTTATTTTAGTAAAGAATGAGATTGACTTTCTAGCCAAAAAGGAGGTTGTGAGTTTCTACAGTCTGTTCCTTAGGTCTAATTTACTTATATTGGGCATTGAAAAGTTTGTTGAGGGAAAAGAGTTCTAATATTGTGATGAGCATTGTTATAGTTTGTTAGAAAAAGTGGCCATAACACATACCAGTGTTAACATTTTTCACATCCTTATTTTGTGTGTTATGAAGACTGTCTCTTCTCATATCTTACCCAAAAACATACTTTTTCTCTGTCTCTGCTATTATTTGTTAGCTCTGTAACTTAACCATGTTATTCAGTGAGAATTTTGAGATCCACTTAGTATGAGCAATGCTGTATAAAATTTGTTCTTCAAAGCAAAACTTCATTCTGCATGCCAGAGAGGTGAAAAACACCAGCATGACCACACACATCTCACAGAAAATCCTTCTTGGACTGCTAAGAGTGAATCTGGATCTGCTCAGATCACAGCTTTGTTAGCCATCTGAGGGCACAAACAAACACACCTGTAAATAATAGCCCCAAGTCTTCAACATTTATGCATCTACCTAACCTTAAACATGTGAGTAAAATTAAGTTTGTGCTTAAGTGATTGCAGCACCGAGGCATAGAATCATAGAAGTAACAATCATCAACAGCTCAAAGAACCATGTGTCATTATAACTTTGCAAGTTTTCTGGGTTTGTTATTTATAATCCTTAAAGAATCACTATCAGGTAAACTTAGGTACCAAATTCGGTTTTTTTAAATAATTGTTGAAAAACGTATATTTTTCATGTATTTATACTGTAATACCAATGAAAACAATTTTATTTCCTGAGATTTAAATATTTTCCCTGTGGTGTTTGTTACTCAGACATTGCAGCATGAGAACTTGCAAGTGAAACTGGTTAGTTTATTTTCATTGTCCAAACTAGATAAAATACAAAAGGTAAACTGCATAAATAGTGAAAAGTCAGGCAAATATGCTGTAGATTCCTTTTCCCTTACACACTCAGTTTATCGAAATGGAACAGGAGATGTGGAATTTATTTGGCTAAATGGGGTTTTGGATATGAGTGTAACTGAGGCTCATTATGTTTCCTACTTTTAGATAGGAAGGTTTTGGATGTGAGATTTTTATTAGTGTAGAAATGAGTTGCACACGGAACTTTGGGAGATAAGGATTAATTGGTGGATAATACCAAGCTTGGGGGTGAGGGGTTGCAAGTGCTTTGAAGGATAGGATTATAATTCAAAATTATCTGGACAAACTGGAGAAATGGTCTGAAGTAAATAGGATGAAATTCAATAAGGACAAATGCCAAGTACTCCATTACGAAGGAACAATCAGTTGTACACACACAAAATGGGAAATGACAGCCTAAGAAGGAGTACTGCGGAAAGGGATCTGGGGGGTCATAGTGGACCACAAGCTAAATATGAGTCAACAGCGTAATGCTGTAGCAAAAAAGTGAACATAATTCTAGGATGTATTAGCAGGAGTGTTGTAAGCAAGTCATGAGAAGTAATTCTTCCGCTTTACTCCGTGCTGATTAGGCCTCAATTGGAGTATTGTGTCTAGTTCTGGGTGCCACATTTCAGAAAAGATGTGGACAAATTGGAGAAAGTCCAGAGAAGAGCAACAAAAATGATTAAAGGTCTAGAAAACACGACCTATGAGGGAAGATTGAAAAAAAAATGGGTTTGTTTAGTCAGGAAAAAAGAAGACTGAGAGGGGACATAAGTTTTCAAGTACATAGAAGGTTGTTACAAAGGAGAGAGAGGAATTGTTGTTCTTAACCTCTGAGGATAGGACAAGCTGCAATTTAAGTTCATTGCTTCAAGGGAAGTTTAGGTTGGACATTAGGAAAAACTTCCTAACTGTCAGGGTGGTTAAGCACTGGAATAAATTACCTAGGGAGGTTGTGGAATCTCCAACATTGGAGACTTTTAAGAGCAGGTTAGATAAACACTGGTCAGGAATGGTGTAGATAATACTTAATCCTGCCATGAGTGCAGGGGACTGGACTAGATGACCTCTCGAGGTCCCTTCCAGTCCTATGATTCTATGATAAGTTCCCATCATGCAACTTTCTCCATCCCATAATGCCATCCCTATGACATAATTTTCAGACCTTTTGTTAAAATCCCATAAACCCACATGGCACTTGTCGCTGCCTGCTATCTCTGACAGAAGCGTGGCGCCCGCACAGCTCTGCACTATTGTCATGAACATTGCAAACATAGGACATATGATCCTCAGGTAATTGCAGAGCCGCAGGAAGTACGGCAACTGTGGGGGACAGGATGATTTCTTTGAGGAGGGAGTGCTAATGGGCATAGCAAAACCAATTCAAGGTTGATGGTGTTCACAGAGCAGCTGCAGGTGGTGGATCACTGCTTCAGGGTCAGAGAAATGAGCACTGACTGGTGGGATCACATCACAATGCAGGTTGGGAATCACGAGCAGTGGCTGCAGAACTTCCAGATGCAAAAAGCCACATTCCTGGATCTGTCTGCCGAGCTCACACCAGCCCTCCAGAGCTTGGATACCAGAATGAGAGCTGAATTGACATTTGAGAAACGAATGGTGGTTGCACTGTGCATGCTTGCAACACTGGATTGCTACTGCTTAGTGGGAAATAATTTTGGAGTTGGTTAATTGACTATGCAGGACTGTGATTCTCAGCAATGTGCACAACATCGTGGATGGATTTGCAGCTATGGGGTGGGGTGAGAGATGGCATGCACATCCATATTTTGGCCCCATCCCACCTTGCAACACAGTACATCAGCAAAAGAGCTACTTTTCTATGGTTATGCCAGCATTTGTGAGTAACCGGGGATGCTTCTCTGATATCAGTATGGGCTGGTCAGGGAAGGTGCAGTCCTTAAAGATCCAAGCGTCATGCACCTTCCCTGACCAGCCCATACTGATATCAAAGAACACAGGACTGTTCAGAAAGCTGCAAGCAGGGACATTCTTTCTTGACTGGCCGATTACCATTTGTGGTGATGAAATGCCAATAGTGATCCTGAGGAACGCATTTCATGAAGCCTTACACTAGCCAGCTTGACAGTTCCAAGGAAAGATTCAACTACCAGCTCAGCAGGTGCAGACTGATAATTGAATGTGGTTTTGGTGGATTGAAGGGACACTGGTGATGTTTACTCACTAAATTAGCTCTCAGTGAGAAAAATATCCCACTGTTATAGCTGCCTGTTTGTCCTGCATACTATCTGTGAGGGAAAGGGGAAAGGTAGAGGTGGAGCATCTGTCTGCTGACTTTGAATGCCAGACACCAGGGCTATACAAGAGCTCAATAGGGAGCTATGCAGCTGAAGGAGGCCTTGAAGAGCACTTTAGCAGTCAGCAAATGTTAATATGCTGTGCTGGACTGTGCTCTGTCTGGCCCTGATGTTTTGGGGGGTATTTGCAATTGTAGAGTACATTTATGAATATCACACTGGTTACTGGACATTTATAATTATTACAGTGTGTTTTGCACTGAACCTATGAATTCTGTGATCCTGTTCAACTACAATTTGTGTGCTTCTGATAGCACTAGGTATTCTGCTGTATATGTTATGAAATAAGATTAATTTATTTCCAAAAAATAAAAATGTATTGTGTAACAAAAACAGTGGAAAGAGTAATGTGCAGTTAAAAAGCAATACAGTGCAAACTTATAAAATTAATAATCAGAATAGAGCTTTAAAATTAGAAGGACATGAATGTTTGCTAGCAATTTCAATTCATTTCTGCCAAACATACATCAACCATGGTTCTCACAGGTCAGTATGTGTGAAGCTGTGGTTTTTGTTATTGTCCCGGCACAGAGTGGTAATGATAGAGATGTGGCCCATGATGCCATGGGGGGCGTAGGGAGCTGGTGAAATGGAGTTCTCCATTGATTGCAGGGGGAGGCGAGTACTTGATTGTTGGACCTGTAGGAGTAGGAGAACAGGAGTCTGCAGTATTTGCATTTGCTGCCTGAGATGCCCTATTCTAGCCTGGGGATCTCCCTCTCCTAGGCCTTTCTCCTGTCTGCTCTTTCCTTCTCCAGGCTGACTTCTATATTCACCCGCCAAACCCTCTGCTCGTGCTCCAAGACAGCACTGGCTTGCAGGATCTCACTGAACATGGCCTCCCAAGTCTGCTTCTTTCTTCTCATCAGGGTCAGGCATTCTGTAGGTGTGAATGGGGCACCCTTCAAGGCTGCCATGGTAGCAGCTACGGATAAAACAGACAGATGTATCATTGTGTTTACAGTCACAAAGGAAAGCAAAAGATAAGTTTCAGAACGCCTTTCCCCTATTCCCATAAAAGTTTTAAATCAGATACGCCTCAATCAAGACACCTCCAGCTTTGGTGCACCTCTGCACAACACCACTGTCTAGCTGCAGCCATAGTGAGTCTGGCTTGCTGAGGGTGAGGAGAGGGTATGGTGAAGACTGAGTCGTTTGGTTAAGTAAACCAAAAAAAATTCAACCCCTGTTTCCACGGGTACGAGTACAGGGCAATGGCACTGTGTACAGGTGCTATTTTCCTCAGGCGGTGGTGATTTTAGCTGTTATCTCACTCCTGAGGCTAACAAAGGTACAGAGAGCACAGCTGCTGTTGGTGTCCTGAAGCTGCCCAGGCCCTTATCCTGCTAGCCTGTTTACCACAGTGGTGCCTGCTGAAGTCATTGCAGAGTGGTATAGGAAAGTGTCCTACTGAGGAGGGAGAAATAAAGCAGCCTTTCCTCATATTCTTTGGGAAAGGATTCCAGAGTACTTCCATGGAAGTTTCATTGCGATCCCTCAGAAAGGTATAAGGGACATCCCTGTATACATAAACAAACTGCTCAGCATGCCATTCCACCCCACCCAACCTAACAATACAAGGGAATGAAAAGCAGATAACTCTACCTCTGTTTGTTGTACCTCTGTGTCTTTTCGTAGGAGTGAAACCGTGAAAAGCAGATACCTGTGTCCTGCTAACTTGGGTTTGTGCTGGGTACCATCTTCACATATAAACTTTTTATGGGGGAATACATGCATGTGCTTATCCTGGTTTCTTCCCCCAGATCCGGCTTGGCTGGCAGGACTGGCTAGACTGCGGTAGAGTCTTGAATAGATCTTGGCTCACTCATAGCTGGACTCCCCCCACCATGGGACACCTCCCCCCCCCCCTTGTTCACAGGCTTGGTCTCGGGCTCCACTGAGGAACCCAGGATGCTCTGTGGGGTGCTGGTGGGGTTTCTGCCAGGTATGGCATGCAGCTCCCTGTAAAAGCAGCAGGTCTGAAGCTCAGCACCGGATTGACTGTTGGCCTCCCTGGCCTTACGATATGCCTGTTGCAGTTCCTTTACCTCTACATGTCACTGCTGCTGATCCCTGTCATACCCTTTTGCTTTCGTCCCCTGTGCAATCTTTCTGTAGATGTCCATGTTTATACAAGTGATTTCTAGCTGTGATTGCATAGCCCCTTCTCTCCTCAAGCCCAAGAGATCCAGTACCTCCTGGATACTGGCGACACGGAGCATGTCTATAACGTATAACCAGCAGGGTCGGATGGAAAGTTGCACGCAACAAGGGAGAACTACTAGGTGTGTCTCGCCAAGCTGGCAGTCAGGAAATGGCATTTAAAAAATACGCAGAGATTGGGGGGGGGTAGGGACTGGCTTCTGGTCTCCATGACCTGGGCAGTGGAGTTCACAACTGTGATCAGAGCGATCACTGTCAGGCATTGTGCGACAGCTGCTGGGGGAGTGGTAAGGTTGACATATGTCATACAATGTCTACTTTGTATTGTGTTGACCATGGTACATCAACATGAATCAATGCTATTTGGGGAGGTGGTGTTCCTGCTTCTCAAGAACGGGGTGCTTGCATCAGCGGGAGACACATTGAGTGTAGACACATGAATAAATAGTTGACGCAAGGCAACTTATGTCAAACTAACTTTGTAGGATAGACCAGTCCTTAGGCATCACAGAAAATGGAAGGAGGTTTTATTGAGTTAGGTCCTATATTCCTACAGGCTAACCTCCTGAGCGTTGTTGCCTGCTACCAGAAAAAATATGCACTATAGCACTGTAAAATTCCAGCACTGAAAAAACTAAGGAGTAATATTAGAAACATTTTTCACATGTAGGTCCAGTTATGGACTTATCTGCTGTGATGGAGTGGGGCTGTGTAGTTACAGTAAGAGTGTCTGAAAGTTAGGATTCCTGGATCTTATTCCGAAGTCAGTGGAAAGATATCCATTGATTTCAATGGGAATTGGATCAGATCCTGTATAAACCTGAGTAATGGACCTGCAAGGTGGTGTGTGTGGTGGAAAGAAGTTTGTGCTCTTTTTTTTTTTTGGTTCTTTATGATGTATGAAGAAGACCTGAAAAAACATTTTTTCAAGGCAGGGTTTTTTACAACAGAAATTCAGGTCTTGTCTACCCTCGAAGCCTTATAGGCTACTGGAGAACTAATAGGATTATGACTGAAAGAGGACGTGAAAACTGATCAAAAGAGAAAGTTATTTTTATTTATATTAGTCGCAATTCCTTATTTTTTAATTTGTTTGTGTTAACACTGCCTTGACTTGGCTGTGAAACATTTGGGAGAAAGGATGTCTTTAAGCTTCAACATCCTGCCCTTTCAATGAAGGTCTGAGAGAGCTCACAATCCACATTTCTATGTTCTCCAAGAAGCCTTCCAGCAAGAACAGTGAAGATTGTGTGAAATTCTTGATACTTTTAAGGTAAATCAAGTAAGGGTGGGGTGGGAGTTTATAAATAAAATAAATAACATCCCCCAAATCTTTCAGGCCTTCTTGCTGCATCAGAAATAATAAAAGGGACCCACATCCATTTATTTTCCTTAGCAAATCATCTTTAACCTCTATGTACTTAGTTTGGCCCTCTCTAAAATGCTCTTCATATTTCCTTACCTCACAGGAACTTATGAAGATGAATGAATATCAATCTCTTTGAGGTCCTCATGTGAAAGATTGCTATAGAAATGCAAAGTATTATCATCATCATCATCGTTATTATTATTAATTTGTTATTATTACTGTGGCTGTGTTAAATTTCCTGCTGAGTCTGTCCTATTTATTTTCAGAATATGCTTGAAGGGTTGTTAATCCATAAACCTGATGAACCCATTGAGTATATGATAAGCCACTTAAAGCAAGACAATGATCATGGTAAGTGAAAATGAGAGACCATATGTAGTTCAACTTGTGATTTATAAACCATTGTTGTGAAGCTCTACTTCAGTTGGCAAATGGTGGATAAAAGTTTTCAGCCTGTCTCTCAAATGTTTTTAAGCGATTTGGAATAGTTATTGGTAAGATATTTTTAATTTCTTTTCTAGTGGATAATCTAATAAAAATGCACTTGAACAGTTATAAAAATGAAATCCTCTAAGGGAATAACAAAGAGTTCTAGTGTATCAATTATTAATGCTTTCTGTGCCCCATCTGATATTTCCTGTTGTCTTTAAACTCGCTAATTACCCCTTTTGTCAGGTGTAAAATTGGTTTCCCATTCTACCTGGGCTGGCAGCGTCTTTGTTTTTTTGAGTACTTAGTTACTTGCTACGGTTAATGAGTTCCACTGCTCAGTGGCATCTCAGCTGAAGGAACAGCAAGCATGCCTACCCATGTGTATAACAAAACCTGATAAATTGAATAGGAAGTATGTATTCTGCACAATAAAAGCATGTACACTCAATCAAATTATTTGATTTACAAACTGTTCACCCTTAGGCAGATTATATTTGGAGATGCACAACTGAACTATAATTTTGTTCCGCATGAGCTGTCAGGAGTAGCTGGTGTCATGTTGCTTTGATGTTTCTTTAAAACCATAGTAAACCATTATGAAAGTTCTGCTGCAGCATCAATGAAATCATTATCACAAGAGATGCTAAGAGCTCTTCCTACTTAGTGATCAGATGGATGTCGATTGAAATGAGGCTAAATAGCAAAAATCAAATCCTGCGAATTGTGTCCAGCCTGTTTTGATGTGGGCAGCATGAGAAATCTGATCTGTTTTACAGCCCCGTTGAAAGTACCCAGTTGAGGAGTTTCATGGGATTTTATAGAATGCTGATAAATCTCCATCACACTGAGCTAAGGCTTGTTCTTTAACCCCACGGTATTATTTGAACAGAATCAAGCAGGTTGCCATTCATGACTTCAGTAAAATAAGAGGCTAAAGATAGAACCACAGCAATTGTTTGTCAAATGAAAAACTGCTATCTGTTTGTGGTTTGAAAGAATCTATTAAGACGTGGAAGGAACTCCAATTAAAATTAAAGCCTAAATGTTGTTTTAAAAGTAAATTTTATGGAAAACAATGTAAGAGAAATCTGTAGTAGAGCTGATATTTACTTTTTGATCATGGTGGAAGGTGCTGACTCTTTAGAAGAAAAAACCCTTATTAGAGCCATCAGTAAAGTGATGAATTTTCATGATCTTGCCTTGCTAGACAGTTTTAGCCCCAGAGAAATTTTCAAACAGAGATGTGGAAAAAAGATATTGCAGCTACCCCAGGTGTGAAGTCAGAAAATCTTTTTAATTAATAGTGGGATTTAAAGCACTCTTTAAAAAATACAAACAAACCTAATGATTATAACTTACAACAATCCTGATGAAGCTCTTGGGCCAAATATTAGGTGACTGGGCTCTCATATTCAAGGCTATGTGGTATTGTTCTTTCATGTGGTTGTTCTAAAAAGCTAGAACAATGTGATGACTAAGCTATTTTTAATGCAAAGATGTCAGTTTTGTACATTTTATCTGGGTTTGTGCTAATAAAAGGTTTCCAAAATCCAAGTAACTTTTTTTTTCTGGTGAGTACTTCCTATATAACCATGCCCATGATGAAATTTACAAAATTCTGGAAAAATGTTAGTCTTGTACTGTATACTTCTTCAGTTCGATAGAGGAGTTGCCTTATAAGCTAAGTGATTTTTTTTGCATTAATATTAATCACAGAATCATTTGGACTTGAAGGGACCCCTACTGAGTCCAGCCCATCCTTTTGCATTGTGCCAGGAATAATTCAGTTCCCCCTAAAACTGTACCTGAATGCGAAATGTTAAGACTGCTTGGAAAAGTAAATTCTGTCACATCTCAAGATTCAACACTGAGATGTGGTTTATTACCAAAGAAAAAGGTGTTGTGTAGATTTCTTGGTGTTCATTTAGCTGCCTGTGTAGACCTCAAGCATTTAATACTCACTGTGTGCTGATTTGAGGGGTTAAACGTTACATACAGTGATGCTCTGGTTGTGCCCTTGTGTCATATGTTTAGGGAAAAATGCCTTAGAAGAGTCTTACAAGTGTGCAAATGAGTAAATCAGTGCATTACACTGCCTCATCTGCTGCCAGCCACTAAGCAGAGAGAAAACCAGATTTAGTACAAAGTGAGCATTTACAGTAGCCCTGGGCAATATTAAAGCATGATATGGTGTATATAATGGTACGTTTCGTTTTTCATCAAACGTTTGTCCAAGAAAGTTGTGTATTAAAGCTTCAATACCTAAGGGTTTTCTTGTGAATTTTAAATCATGCTCCTAGTTAAACCTCAAAAGGATCTGTGGATGGAAAGGTTTTTTGATTTTCTTTGAAGTGGTTTGAAGAAGTTGATTAGTGTTGGCACCCGAGCACTCTTTTATGACGCTGTTTATAAATAATTCCTCAGTACCGGGCTGGAGTTTCAAGGTGTTAGATTTTAAGAAACTAGGATTTAATCACATTACATTTGAAAGAAATTATGTGATAAAAACAGCCGATGTATCCTTTTAAAGTATTTTTCGACATTGTGTACTAGTTCTGTTGCGCTTGCAAGAACCAATACGGGGGGAGTTTTCCTTAAACCTTCCCAGTCAAATAACTTTGTAAAGATGAAGCTGTAATTTGGGTTTTATGAATGTTTAAAAATTGCACCTGCCCAGCTGCTCCTAAGTGTTTGGAAGGTCTTTATAAAATTACATTTCCAATCCTTTCCTGTCTGCCGAGATCAGAGAGTATATTCCTTTTGGTTGTCATGACCTGGAGAGGTTTTTGGCTGGATAGATCCCCTAACTCATCATCTTTGACCCATACTACTGCCAATAAATACCTATCAGTCACTGTTCTCAAGCCTGATTCCTTCTCCCCCCACAATGGAAAGTGGGAAGAAAAACCCAAGATGTTAATGTAGCAATTCAAGGGATCACAGCCCAAAATGCACGCATGCAAAAAAGCCTCAAATCTTTCTCAAGCGATATTTCCCCTTTCTCCTTGTTTTTTGACACCGCTGATCTTTCCCTACATCACCGTAGAATGAGAATAATCATTGTGTTGTCTATATGATTGTAAATTTCTTGGGACCGGGACCTTATCCATTTTTTTTTTTTTATTCTTTAGGTCGCCCTGTACAGCTATGGCGCTATAAGAATAATAAAAACCAAACTAATAAATACTAGTAGAGATGAGACAGGAACTTGTGTGCTAAGGGAAAAGAGGTTGCTGCCATGGCAAGTAACTTTTTTTCCTTCCTTTCATCTTGCATCCCCTCCGCATGGAAGGGACACTGACATGCAGCAGATAAACACAGAAGGAGAAAAAAATGGAACTTAATGCTGACTAGAGAAATGAAGGGCAGCGGATAAAAGGATAGAGGAGAAATGTGGAGTAGCCCATTTTCTCCTGTGACTGGGAAAAATGTTAGTGTCCCACAGGCAATCTGAGAAATGTTCCGTATACATTTTTTCCCCTATTTCTACCCACGAGGTAGCTATCTGCAATAGCAAAGAAAAGTGCCCATTTTGCAATGTATAAACCTTCTTGATCCATGACATAACCTATCTAGAGAAAGGTGTGAGTTGAAATTATATTACTCATGTTTCATTTTCTAAAAATGAAAAGGAAATGCATTATTAGTACAAAGTAGTAAAATAAGAAACTATACACTTTGAAATTGGCCATCATGCTGCATATACAAAATTAAAATACTGTAAGATGCATCAGATCGAAACCATTTAACATGTTGGGAATAAAAAGCAAAGTTAGAAACATAAGTATTCAGTATTTATGCCCTGTTTATGTGAGTTGCAAATAAGCTGTCTGTGCTTAAAGCTAGATATGGGCTAAGTGCCTTGCCAAATCAGAGTCTTAAATGTGTTAACTATGGAAATTAAATTAAGACATAGTAATGACTAGCTTGGTCCCCCAATCCTGCAGTCCTTACTCAAGCAGAACTCCCAGTGAAGTAACTGTATCACAGTATAATTACATATGCTGTATATTATGTAATATGAAGAAACAATAACGGTGTCTTGCCTTTCTGTATCTTGACATTCATGTATATTTATTTTATAGTTCCAAGAATTTGTATACTTGGTCCACCCGCCTCTGGAAAAACCACTATTGTAAGTATATTACCTTAAGTGTTATAACACTGCACTGCCATATGTTTGCAAATTAGAACTTCTTGTTCAGTTATGCTAGAATAATTATGTATTTAGAAGTCAAAAGTCTTGTGACAATAGAATAAAAATAACTTTTATTCCTGTTTTGTGGGCCATAGTTTTGGCCTGTGCCTAGATACCACGGTGATAGACTGACTAGATTAGATTAGACAGAAGCACTGGCACCTTAGAACAGAGGAACTGAAAAATGTGAGAAACGAGGGGTGTTTACACAAAACAACCTGGCAGGCTTGTTACATTTATGGATTTGAGACATTTAGGTTCAAATTTTCAGAAGTGTTTTTTAAGTTTTGGGTGTACAACTTTAGATGTTCTGGGCTTGATTTTCAGAGGTGAGGGCCACCCACAGCTCCCAATTAAGTTGGAGTTCTGGGTGCTCAGCACTTCTGAAAATCAGGCTTGAGGGGTATGATTTTCATAGTGCTTATGTGACTTAGGAGCACAAATACTATTAAGAGTTACAGAGTAGCAGCCGTGTTAGTCTGAATCCGCAAAAAGAACAGGAGTACTTGTGGCACCTTAGAGACTAACAAATTTATTTGAGCATTATTAAAAGTTAGTGTTCCTTAATCACCTAGGCACTTCTGAAAATTCTACCCTGAGTGTCTAAAGTTGGGCACTCAAACTTAGAGGCCACTTTTGAAAGTGTGGTTCTTAGTATACTGCTACGTGTGTGTGTGTGTGTGTGTGTGTGTATGTATGTGTGTGTGGTGGGTGGGAGGGGATAAAGGGGGTTGAACCACATAGAATTTAAAATGTGTTAATTGCCACAACTGCTTTTGACCTAAAAGTTTTACAGTTTATAGGACTGTATAACAGTGTATTTTCAAAAAAAAATAGTTATGGCTTTTTATGCTTTCAGAATTAACATCCATTTATATTTTACGTTTTTAGAAACTTTTTTTCAGATGCAGTTAAGACTTGCCAGAGAAATGGTCTATGTACAGCTAGCACCTTTCTCAACAGCTTCCATTCTCTGTGTGTATTTAAAATCACATTTGCAAATTTCAGGGACAAAAATAAGTTTCTACCGTTTATTCCGCCCCCCTCCTTTTGGCAGTGCAGAAACAGTGCAGTTGTGAGATAGGGAGCTGGATTCTGATCTGGTTTGTGCATCATTAAGAAAATTGTTAACTGGTTCAGTCCCAGGGCCAATACTACTCATTTATGCTGGTACAAAGCCGCTGAAAATAATGAAATTGCACTGGTATTTATTTTCCATGTAATATAAATATATATTTCCATTATATGGCAGGGTACTGGTAATAATAATAATAATAATAAACTGGTATCTTCCCTTGACAAGATTATAAGAGTTTATGAAATTCCCAGCCAAAAAAACTTTGTGAAAATGGTGTTATACTTGTAAATACGTATTAAAAATGTAAAATAGGGAGGAAATAAACTTTTAAAGAACTCTGGAATTTCAAAGAAAACATTGAAAAGCTAGGAAATTAAGTTAAATTAAAATTTTAAACAATACTATGTAATTAGAGAATTAAAGTACCATACATTATCTATATTCTGTCCTGATATCCCCACCATCCAGTGCACCCTACCTGAAAGATAGGTACTTGCTCGACAGGTATTGTATATTACAGCCAGCTGCCCTATTCAACCCCATATATGCCTTTGTGGTTGGCTCCTGACCCCTGATGTCTGGGGGACATCTTAAATCCTATGTAGTCAGTGGGAGTTGGAGATGCTCAGTACTTCTCAGGTTCAGTCTTATAATTTGGTGGTTCATCTAAGAAGTCTGTAACTCCAGACACCTTTTACAAAATTCCCCCCGGAATGATATACCATGGTTTGCATAGTTGAATTGCAAGTGTATATAGGAAACAATATTGGGAAAGTGAGAAAGAGGTTAGGTGAGTTGTTCGGGCCTAGTCCAAAACCTGCTGAAGTCACTGGAAGCACTCTCTTTGATTTCAGTGGGCCTTGGATTGGAACCTTTGTGCTTATGAAGTGTAAAAGGTAAGTGTTTGGTGTTGCCATGTTGTGAATGGACAGTCTGTGACCATGGAATGGGTGGGTATTGCACAAATTATGCTGAGTATGGTCACAGCGTAATGGAAGTATTTGACTCATTTTTCAATGTCTATCTATGGTATTAGAAACCTATATAATTACTTTCTAAGCCAGGAAAGATGTCATGCAGGCATAAGGCTGTGTCATTAATTTGGATGGAGGGTTAGAGGCATGGATACAGAGTTAAGGTTGCTTTTGTGTTTCTTAACAATGCATATTCATATTTGTCTGCTTCTTTTAAGTTTTACCTTAAATTCAAATTTCTTGGCTGTTCAATATATATAGTTTTGAAAACTTCAGCATTCTTTTATTTCCCCTTAAGTTACTGATATATATTCACAACCTTAATTGCATATTAACAAAGCATCTGTTCTGCAATGTGAGTACTTATGAAGCTTACAGTTATGGATTATTTGTCTAAATTGGAGGCTAGGAAAATACTGACTTGTTTTGCTTTCTGTGGGGCTTCTGAAAACATATTTTATTTGCACCCATCTTTTTTTCCTCCCATTTCTTTCCCCAGGCAACATGGCTTTGTAAACAATTGAATACCCCTTGTATCACTCAGGAGACTTTATTGGAAGAAACATTAGAGCTGACAAAAGAAGTAAAGGCATTTCAAGAGAGAGGACAGGTACGTAGGGAGAGGTAACAGTACCAGCTCAGTGTGCTATGGAAGACAAATTATATGACACTGCCATGATTTCAAATGGTGGACAACTTGATCAGATTAAAGTACAAAGTTTTGCATCAATGGTGGTTTGAACATGGGTGTATGAATTTGTAGGTGCAGGGGTTTCCATAGGGAGAAAATAACCTTTTTGCTACATATAATAATATGAACAGAGATAAAAATATACTATGACACAGACAGGGATGGGAGAGACAGGGATTGGCAATGATTGAAAACCTTAACATTAGATTCTTCTTAGATACTAGAAATACATTTCTGGGTATGCACAGTACTGTTTAAAGAGTTATACGGTTTCACAAGAGAAAGCCTGTTCTGTTTTAGCATGTTTGATGATCTCCATTAAGTAAGCACTATTCTCTGGGGTCTGTTTCACTACAAAATACTTCCAGAAGATATGTTCCTGGAGAACACTTCTTTGATGTGACAGAGCTACTTAGCGACGTAGGGTTGATTTTTCTGTAGCATGACACAAATACGGTTCTTGGTGCACTAACTCAGAGTAGTGTGCCAATCCAGTCATGTGGTGAGTGCAAACCCAAGAGGCGCTCAGGCTGAGGAGGCAGCAGCAGGATCAGGAGGACTTTGAGGGTATGTTTATACTGCAGCGTAAGCCCAGGGTTCGAACTCAGGCTCAAGCCTAACACCCCTTCTGTCTAAACACAAATCATGCTACCCCAGGGCTCAAACCCAGGGTCCCAGGACTCCAGGAGAGTGGAATCTCTGATCCAGGACCCAGGATTCCAGCCCTATTGCTTTGTAGTGAAGATGCAGCTAGACTGGATTCACTCTCAGAGTCCACCAAAAGTATTCCACAATCCCATGGGCCGACTTTCTTTGTCCTCTGTACAGTCAAGTTTGGTGGACAGTCAAGTTTTCCCACACTGGACCTGAACAAAGAGCTAGAGTGGCCACATTTTGGGAAGGCGTTAGGAAGTCTGGGATAGGGGTGGTTGGACTCAGGTCTACATAATGCAGCGTAGACGCTGGGGTCCCAGATTGGGACCCAGGGTTCAACAGTTCCTAAACTGGGGTTACAGTTGAATGTAGTTGCTGAAGCCCTTAGTTAACAAACCCAGGATCTGGTAGGTTACTAACTCAAGTTCTACTAACCTGGGGCTTACATAGCAGTGTAGACATACCCAGTTCCTAGGCTAGCCACATTTAAATGCTTCAACCAACCTTCAGAAGAGCATTTGTTTCACTACTCGCTCTGAATTAATTAATCCTTCCACCCCTCATCTATGGCCAGTACTCTGGAGCCATTCTTTTCCCCTCCCTAACATCTTATGGAAATTTTTTTGAAATAAGTTGTTCAATGAGCATTTTTGCCAGTTGACTTGAGGTATGGTATTGACATGAGAGTTACTTGCCTTATAGGTCAGTGAAGTAAGTCCTACAGAGTTGACAGCTAGTGAAGATAGAAGAGAATGAAATGGGGGAAGGATGTCCTGAATAAATCGGGTCAGCACCCCCCTTTACCCTCCCCTCCACAAAAAATAAAAATAAGACCCTATATTCATTACATTGAATCAAAGAATAAGGTTTGGAGATGCCTTGAGTTGAACTCCTGGTCTGAAGATTTGTGAGGAAAAAGTCCATCAAAATCACTGAGACTACCTGCAAAACATCTGCTTTTGACTGGGATGGAATAGGTTGGCGTAAAAATGGCTTTTATTGAAAAAATGAACTTTAATAATTTGAGTGAAGGATTTTTTTTTAAGATTATTTTACTAGATTCATGAAACTCAATTTAGAGAGGGGGAAATTTAAAACAAAAATTCCCTTTGGTTTAATTACTCTAATTATTAACATATTTCAGACTGAAGAGAAGCACTTTCAAGGGTGTCCTTTTGGGCTTACTTGATTTAAAAACACTGATGGTGTAGAAGATGAAAGCCAAAGATGTCAGGGCTAATCAGGTGGCAAAGAGCATCTGAAAGCTGAAATTGGTGGTGTTTTAGTGTTGTGCTGTTTATACCTTTGTTTGTAGGATGTTAGCTACTAGAGGGATGACTTTCATAAATCATTTTTCCAATTCCCTTGCATGATTTTGACTCTTCATATATGACTGTTATGACTAAGGATGAAATTCTGGCTCTATGGAAGTCAATGGGAGCTTTGCCACTGATTTAATTGTAGCCAGGACATCACCCTCAAATATATATATATATATATATATTTATTTTTTTTTTTTTATTTTCTTCTTGTTTCTCTTCTTCT